ATTCTTTTTCTTCAGCAGTGCTTTGGCAATTCTGGGTGTTTTGTGGTTCCATACAAATTTTAATATGATTTGTTCTAGTTCTGTAAAAAGTGAAGGACTTTTATTTTTAACTTACCAAAGAAGTTACAAAGTTTATTTTATCAGTTAGTGTTTAACAAGTGTATTTGAAATCATGGAAATCTGTTTCCTGAGGTTTCTTTAAATATGTTCTGTCATTAAGAAAATGCTTTATTAATTGATGGATTTTTGAATTTTAAAGCAAGACTTCAATTTAAGAACACCTGTGAACAGCATGGAGAGTTCTCCTGCCCCTCACCCACCCAGTATATAGTACATAAGAGGATGTAAAAGACATTTACTAATCATTTTTGATAGTTACTAATTACCGGCAAACCTAGAAAAGTCTTTTAAATTTATTCTTATTGAAGAAATTCAAAAACATATATATTCACCTACTTTCCTTTGAGGGTGGTCTGCAATTAGTGACTTTATGCACAGATTAAAGTAGAGGAAATGAAGCATAACTTTCAGTGAAGAAATCTGGCACATAGCTCCATGACCAAGTGATCAAGTTTAATGTCACTAGTGATGTCATGTGGGGACTCTGACTTGAGAAGAGTAGGGTGTTTCACCACCATGCTTTTCCTCCCAAAAGTTTATAAGCCCAGTCCAGTCATAAAAATGTAAGAACATTCAAAACTGAATAATGGTTGCAGAATACCTGACCAGTACTTCTCAAAACTGTGAAGTTCAAGAGAAACATGGAAAGAGCAAAAGGAAAGTAAGGAGACATGATAATTACTGCAGTGTGGCATATGGATTGGATTCTGGAGTAGGAAAAGGACATTAATAGAAAAAAAGTAAAATCTGAATAAAATCTGCAGGTCAAGAATAGAATGTACAATCTGGTTGCTTAGTTTGGACAAACATACCATGAAAATGCAAGAAAATAGCATTAAAGGAAATTAAAACTGGATGAGTGGTACACCCTTTCAATACTATCTTTGCAACTTTTCTATAAATCTAAAACTATTCTTAAATAAGACTAAAATCTTACTAAAAATAGTCTGTCAATAATTGAGGGGTCAAGGAAACTGTTATATGCATACAATGCAATATTTAGTAGAGGTTGAAAAGAAGACATTCTCCATATATACTATGAAACAAGTTATATGATGTATTTATGCAATTAAAATGAAGTTTAAAGGATATATTTACAGCATAATTGTACTTTTGCAAAAAAGCCCACGTAAACTACCGATACTGTCACAGGTGGCATGGTGATGTGTGGAAGCCTGATTCGGACCTGTGTCTCTGAATCCCCATGGCTGGTATTGTTTTTCTTCTCAAGTCTGCTCTATGTCTGTCTTTCAGAGGTCCTTGCCTCTCTTGCCTACCGTCTGGGGAAAATTCGCCCACACGCCTGAAGGAGTATGTGAATTTGAATCTTATGAACATAGGCAGCCGTTGTCCAGCAATTTCTGCACTGAGTTCTTCAATACATGTCTCTGCAACACAGGACAGGGGAAAATACCCACCTAGCTTGGGATCAAGTAGCATAGGAAATCACACTCACTACAATGAACATTAGGGTGCGTGTACCTTTCCCAGTTGGTTATTGTTTTCTCAAATAAATACCCAGAAGAGATATTGCTGGATCATGGTAGACGGGAATCACATGGCGGTGGCCTAATTCACATTTCTGTTAAATAGTATCCCCCATTTTCCCATCTGGTTGCCATTACAGTTAATGAGCTTTTTAACAGTGGTATAGCATGTTTTTATTCATGACCTTGTACATCTATTAATTTACTCAAACAGATATATTTCTAGCAGGCAGGTCTTTGCTACTTCTTTGGAATATATCTGTACATACTGTAGACATAAACCTTCTTCTAATAGGTCAACTACATGGAAAGGCCAATAGTAGGCTTTGAGTTTTAAAAAGAGATGTATAAGGTGTGCTGAGTCTGTACAACAAGATGGCCTCATTTAGTCCAGAGGTTTAACAATAATACCATGAAGGAGATTTTAAAACTGAGACTTGATGAAGGAACATGATTTATAAGATGCACAACAAGGAGAAGAGGATTCCAAGTCTGCTCATGAGAAGAAACCTGTGTTCTTGCCTTAACCTATTAAGCTGGGGAAACACACCCAGGTCTCCTGTTACCTCCAGCCACCCTCGAAATCAAATGAACAGTGTTCCAAGAGAGATTATTTTTATTTAAAGAAAATGAAAACAAATTTAACAATTAACATATCAACCCCTTAAAATCAATCAATACATTTCACAAAGGAAGGTGAAGTTAAAAAACATCAAGTAGGCACTAACTTAGTGATCTCAGTCATTGACATTCCTGATGCCTGTGGTCAGCTTCCTGACTTGCCCCTGATCATGGGCGTCCAGAGCAAAGAAAAGGCTTGAGAGGAGATGAGAAGGAGCATGAGAGAAAATTACAAATGAGGGAACTCCTGGCCACTCTGACAAAGCTCACCACACCACCTTCATGACCCAGGAACACCCCTACATGGCTGAGAGGCCTTTTGACATATTGAGGTAATAGTGGGGAGCAGGTAAAGAGACAGCACTGATTGTTCTCCTTGATACAAAAAAGGAGAAAAATTCCCTTCAAGTCAACTACCACATCATTCTTCCTTGTCCAAGAATCATTAGGAAATCCACTTGCCCAGTTGTCACAGCCTGCCACCTCCCAGAAATGCTGACCAGAAGTGAATGCCTCAGCAACCCAGGCAAGAAAATATTTAGATCTTTTTGAATTGTTGGCAGCATCAGTGTGACCAGGACCAGACAGCAGACATCTCAGATCTTCAGAGGGACTTGACAGGTGACTGTTTCATCATCCAAGCCCAATATCACTGCAGGAAGAAGGGGAAAAGTGAGTTAATGTGTCTTAAATTTCTGATGGGCCTGAGCTTCATATAGTGTCTGGGTTTCCTAGTTTATCACTAGAAATAGGTGGCAGGAAAGCAAGAGAGATGTAGAAATCTTCTGCAGTCCAAGGTTACTGGTCTGTCCTCATAATAAGATTTTAACTAGACAAGATGGAAGAAAATCATGATTTTTAAAAAATATAGAAAGAAGAGACATCTTGCTAAGCTTTGGCCATGATTTTCTCTGGAACATTTGAAACTGGATTTAATTAAAACTTCACAGTCAGAAACAAAGTAGCCTGCCTACCTCCTCAGAAAATGTACTAGAAGAAAAATAATGGTAATAATGTCTCCTAAGGAGTTATTTTTTCCTAACATAAGGATTTTCCACTGAAAACTGCAAAGTTAAAATACAATGAAAGAAAAAGTATAATTTTGAAGTGGTTCTTTGTAAGAATTTTCTGCCAGCATCCCTTGAAAAGGGTGAAATCTAATGAAATGAGTTGTCAGCTTACTTTGCCAATGTTGCATACAAACTGTGTATAAAATTTCATATTATGTTTTTAATAAAATTGATCACACTATATTCTTACATTATGTGAATAAAATATGTTCTTTGTAAAGTGGATGCATTACAGAGAGTTTTATAAACCAAGTTACAATCATCTAAACCTCTCACAACCAAGGTCACTTACCTAGAACGTGGAATGTGCTGAAGGTGCATGCAGGTACCTCCTCCATGTGAACAGCCAACACTATACCCCAGCGAGCTGCAGGTCTTCAGTTATCTTTCCCTATTGTTTACTGTCCAGAAACCTGATTACAACTTATCATAAGTGGCTTTTTTCTGAGGTAAAAATTAACTTTTCTTCCATACATTATTCTTCTATAAAGGTAAATTTCCTTATAAAAGTTCCAGCAAAGTAACCCACAGGAAACTAACAGAGGAGAACATGCCAGATCTACCACCAAGGGGCTCCCTGTTATCTTGGAACTGCTCGAGCCAGTTTATCAGTCCAGTCCTGGGACATGAAGTGAGCTCTGGGACTAGAGGCTGGGGCGTGTTCAGCTGTGCTGACTCACTCCTGCAAGAAGAACAGTCAGTCACTCTTTCTAGCTCAAAATTTTCATCACAATGAATATATCTACACCCTTCCAAGGCTGCTTCATTTAAATCCTTATAATTAGGTTGGGGGCCATGAGGATGACACCACCGAGTGGGGACTGAAGCAAATGACAACTTATTTCATGGAAGTAAAAAAAAAAAAAAAAAAAAAAAATCCTATCCCACCTCCTAACACTGCAATCCCCGCATCCAGTTCAGTTTAACAACAGCTGTATCCAATTCTTCTCAGCCAACCTCTTGGCCATGCCAAGTGGCTTGCAGTGGAGGACTCTGAAGAAAGGCACTTTGATGTGTAACCCACACCAGAACCACTGAGATGCTCAGTGTCTGCACAACCACAGCTCGGGCTGAGGGGTTTGCTCCTCAGGACCTGCTTCAGTACGCACCCTCGAGCCTTTCCTTCTCAGGTTGCCATGCGCTACACACGGGTCCCCAGCCCCCAGTGAGCCTCTCTACCCCTGGGCTCTCCCCGAGCCCACATCAGGTTTCTTGGAATCTTTAATTGTTGCACGTAATCCTGTCATGACTCCGAGCACATTCTCACTGTGTTTTCACATTTCTAAACATTAAAATCAGGAATGGTCATTGTTTTCATGCCACCTTCGCACAGAACCCTGCATGAAGCCCTTTTCCCACTCTGCCTGAGGCAAAACAATGAACAAAACTTTAACTTTTGAGAAAGGGAAACATAAACACATTACAAAAGGGGTTACATATGATAGCTTGTGCTCCCATTTCAGCATCAGTTGACTCATCGCAGTTTCAATTCTCAAAACTTGAAAAGGAGGCAAACTTACTTTTCAACATGGTTTCAAAATGCTGTAAAGAAAAAACAAAAAAGATAAAGTTTTCATACATTTCACAAGGTTCAGAGTAAAGACTTAGTTTCTTATTCCCAAGAGTGGGTGAACCCGAATTCCAGCAAATTGTACATGAAAATGGGAAGGGGAAATGAGCTTCAGAGAGTCCCCAATTTCTCATTATTGCTGGGACCAGACGCAAATCCATATATCTTCAGAGAAGCTTCTTTGTGGCCGTTGTTCAGTATTCTGATGTGTATTAGGATAATTTAAGAATCATTCCCTAGGATTGCTTTAACCTACTTCTCCACAAAGCTCTGTTGTTCTTGTGTATGCCAAGGATGGCCTTCATTCATTAGCAATACCCAGACCCATCAGCCTCTTATCACAGCTTCAGGGAACATCATTCCCAGCACGTGATGGAAGGCACAAAGAAGGTGGGTATTATCTAAGCAACAACACGACTCTCCACTCCTCAGCCCTTACCTGGAGCAGGTCCTTGTCTGGTTTATGGCACCATTCCTTCAGTTCCTCATATATCCCTCTTGAGAGTTTCCCCTTCACATCCATATTGTATTGACTTTCCTTAAGTTGCTGAAAAATCTCCTTGCTTTTTCTCTTCTATTCTCTCTAAATAACGTGTCTCTTCATGGTCGACTAAGGGACACATCTTTCAATATTCACCAAAGATCATCTTCCTCCATAGAGTCACATAACCCTAGGGTGACCATGAATTAATTAGGTCATATAATCTGGCTGATTTCATCCATGCCTAGTATATACTACTTGTCTTCTGTTCTGATTTTTAGAAATGTGGTGTATTCATTATAAACAGAAGTTTTTCTAATTCCTTTTTTTGAACACTCCTCATTTATTTCATCACACCTGCAGTCAAGATCTTGACTCTAACCACTTTGCCTCAAATATTCACATTTTCTTAAATACAGGTACTTGTGATTTAATAATTGTGTTTTGTGATATACAAAAACCTTAATTCTTAAATCTATTTCATCTATCTTATCCTCAGATCTTTCATCTACAGACTGACTCATTGCTTTTAGGAAATAATAGCAAATAGTACTTCATAGAATTAGATAAGCCCTTTCTGTAATACATTCAGAGACCAGAACCTTGTGTGCATGAGTACAGCTTGACTCTTTCAGCCCGAGGCTTCACCCTCTACTTCTTAGCTGACTTCCCCCCTATCCTGAGAGACACTGGTCAACAGACAATCTCCTGGTCTTAATTCCCATCTTATGTTCTTTTGTCACTTTCTCTTTTTTTTCTTTCCTCTCCACTTTTTAAAGTTGTGGACTAGCATTGCTTTAAGCAAAACCAAACATCCACCATTGACCTGATGTATACATTTGGTTCTTGTGCTGTCATCTTTACCTCCAAGGAGCAAATTTTTTGATCACAGGTGTACATTCACTGCATTCATTTATGAAACTCTCAATCTTTCATCAAAGCAATGAACTCTCTTCAATTCCCAGCACTTTAATGAAATCACGTTCATCACATCACCATGCACCTTCTTTGCTGAATCCACATACTGCTTAACATGTATGTTCCTAAGAAGCTCTTCATATTACACCAGCCCTTCCTTCTGTAAATCCTGCCCACCCTGGGTTCAGTCAGACCCCTCTCTCTGTTTCCCTCTGTCAATTTACTTCTACCTGCTCCTTTTTCCCAGCTGGACCCATTAACACAGAAAGTTCCCCAGTTAAATTTCCATGTGAAAATTGTACTGTATTCTTTCCAAAAATTCTCATGTGGTATCCCTCTAATGTCTAGAATATATGGACAATTTTGTAATATCCCTGTCCAGACCAACACTTTCACATAAGCTCCAAACTCATTCATCCAACTGCCTACTACCTATTTCTGTTAGGATGTCTCCCAGACACTCAAAGTGCAACATTTCTCACATAAAACATTCTCAGCACAAGCCAGCATTTCCTCCTTTGTATCTAGCCTAAGTGATCTTCCAACTTCAGAGCAGAAACTGGGTCTCAGTTTTTAAAGTTTATCCTCATAACCTCACACATAATGTAAGTCCTATTTTTTGATGCTTCTTGACCATAAAGCATATCCCTTGAATCCTATCATTTACCGTTGTCTGTAGTCCCAAATGACTTATTCCCAAACGAGTCTTTAAAGATTCCTCAACTTTCAGGTCTGACTTCCAATTTCTCTATGCTCTCTCATTCCCCTTCATATCAGGGTCTACATAATGGAGAAACAAAGGCAAGTGTGGTGTGGGAAAAGCATAAATTTAGTCTGAGATGAGATGAGTTTAGGTAACTCTTCCTAAAAAGCTCTTTCCCCAAATAGACACCTGCCTCGACTTCTACACTTATGCAGGCATCTATCAAAATGTGGTTTCCATAGTAAGTCTTTTCTTATCATAAGTCAAATCCAGTTCTGTCCAAATTACTTTTCTTATTTGCCTTTACTGCTGTATTTTCCTCAAAAGCACTTATCACAGTGGATCACATCATAAATGTTGTATTTAGACTTGTTAACTAACCTCCCCCATTAATTCATGAGCTCCTTGAGTACAAATAAATCTATTCCTCTTGTCTAGTTCTACACTGGCTTAGGCAGTGACTATGGTAAATGACACAGCAATCACTCAATATTTCAAAGAAAAATATTGTAAATTATAATCCAAGCACATCACCTTTAAATCATTGGGTTGATTTTGTTATTTCTCCTTGCCATTCACAGAGCCCCAAATTTCCTTTCTAGTGGGAATAAGTGCTTGTTTTTCTTTTTTACCTTTCCATCACTATTACTTTATTTCTTTGAGTATAAAGGTACTTTAATTTCACTGTCCTATTAGTGATGCTCAATTCATATTTCTGGACAATTCTAGTCAAGATGGCAGAATGGTAGGACCACAAGCTTGCCTCTCCTTGTGACTACAATGAAACCACAACTGAATGCTAAATGACCATTGAGAAAAGACTAGAACCTAGCAAAAAAGATCTGCAATTGGAAACATAAAGAGAGAACCACAGCAGGACAATAGGAGGATATAATTGGGCCCCATATCCCTAGCTGGGTGACTGATAGGCTGAAGATTTGTTAAGATGCAGAGGTCCTCCTACAGGAGTAAGAACTCTAAGCCCCAAATCAGGCTCCCCAGCTCAGTCCTGGCCTTGGAAAGAGAAGGAGACCCCAGGACATCTGGTTTTGAAGACCAGGGAGGGCTTGGCTCTGGTAGCCCCATGGGACTGGGAAAACAGAGACTGCATTTGCTAGGAAAGTGTACACAGAAACTCAGGTGCACCAGGTCCAAGGGCTGAGGCAGTGATTTCATAGGAACCTGGGCCAGACCTGCCTGCTGGATTTGGAGGGTCTCCTGGAATGAGGGTGATGGTTGCGGCTCACTCAGGGGAAAATAAAAGCTGGTGGTGGACATTCTGGGAGTGTTCAACTACATGAGCTTTTCTGGAGGCTGACATCTTGACTGGATCATTAGCACCAAGACCAGCCCCACCCAACAGCCTGTAGGGACTCCTCAGGCCAAACAACATACAGGGCGAGAACACAACCCCCCACCCCCACCCCCGATCAGCAGGCTTCCTAAGCCACAAAGGCCTCTAGACACAGCCCTGCCCACCAGAGGTCCAGGACCAAGCCTCACCCAGCAGTGGGCAGGCACCGGCTCCTCCTGCCGGGAACCCTGCATTAGCCTCTCCCCAGGGGCAGATAACAGAAATAAAAACACAATAATCCCAAAGCCTGTGGAAGGAACCTACAAACACATAGAAAGATAGGTGATATGAGGCAGCAAAGGAATATTTCCCAGGCCAAAGCACAAGATAAAATCCCAGAAGAAGAAATAAGTGATGAGGAGACAGGCAATTTATCTGAGAGAAAGTTTAAAGTAATGATGGTCAAGATGTTCACAGAATTCAAGAGGAGTATAGATGCACAGAGTGAAGTTTTTGGCAAAGAGTTGGAAAATATAAAGAATACCCAAACAGAGTTGAAGAATAAAGTCACTGAAATGAATAACACACTAGAAGGAACCAAGAACAGACTAAATGAGGCAGAAGAATGGATCAGTGAGCTAGAAGACAGATTAGTGGAAATCACTACTTCAGAACAGAAAAAAGAAAATGAGGATAATTTAAGAGACCTCTGGGACAACACAGAGTGCTCTAATATTCACATTATAGGGGTCCCAGGAAGAGAAGAGAAATAGAAAGGACCTGAGAAAAATTTTGGAGAGATAATAACCAAAAACCTCCTCAATTTGGGAAAGGAAACAATCACCTAAGTCCTGGAAGAACAGAGAGTACCACACAGAATCAACCCAAAGAGGAACACACCAAGGCACATACTCACCAAATTGACAACAATTAAAGATAAGGAGAAAATATTAAAACTAGCAAGAGAAAAGCAATGAATAACATACAAGGGAACTCCCATAAGGTTATCAGCTGATTTTTCAGCAGAAACTCTACAGGCCAGAAGGGGGTGGCATGATATATTTAAAGTGATGAAGGGGAAAACTTACAATCAAGAATACTCTGTCCAGCAAGGCTGTCGTTCAGACTTGATGGAGAAATCAAAAGCATCACAGATAAACAAAAGCTAAAAGAACTCAGCACCACCAAACCAGCTTTACAACTAATGCTAAAGGACCTTCTCTAGTTATCAAACCATAAGAAAAGAGAACAAAAAGAAGAAAGAGAGAGAGAGAGAGAAAAAAAAGAGACCTACAAAAGATTGCTTTGGCTGTTAGAGGTCTTTTGTGGCTCCTTACAAATTTTGGAATTGTTTGTTCTAGTTCTGTGAGGAATGTCGTGAGTATTTTGACAGGAGTTGCGTTGGATCTGTGGGTTGCTTTGGGTGGTGTGGCCATTTTGATAGTGTTGATCCTTCCAATCCAAGAGCACAAGAAGTCTTTCCATTTCTTTGTGTCATTTCAGAGTATAGGTAACCTCC